TTGCTTACCAATTTTTTTAAGTTTTTTATGCCAATAATCCTATCTCTAAGCAAGGACAAAGTTTAGGACGGTGTATTGGCCGAAAATCAGTGATGGTGGACGAAATAAACAGTTTGCCCTATGCCATTATTTCTCATTGGCTAAATATAAAATTGTCGTAACACAATAGATATATCCACTACAAAAGCCAACCGCGTCCGATTCACATACAATTTAAGAGCGAAAAGAGAAAGGGTATTTAAATGGAACGAACCTAACGTATCGTTGACCCAAATTCGAAAATAAACGTGATAAACAGCATTTCCATAAACGTTATTTTTATAAGTTCCTGCTTTATGCGACAACGCGGAAAATACCGTTGCCGCAAAAACTAATTTTAGTACGCAGCGGCCCCAGCCTTGATTAAACGAATTAGTACGCTATCGTTCCGACGCGATGAGTAAAATTTCTCAAAAATTTTACACATCGCGACCTTTCAAAAGTCAAACAAATCTATTTAGTTTCACGAAATTAGTGACTTTTTAAAAAAAAAAAAAGAAAGTCAAATTAATTATCTTATGTCGATAGCTTAACATAGTTACATTGACTTTTTTTCTGTATTAATCTAAAACTATAGTAAATACTACATAGCATTTAGCATCTAAAGCAAACCAACTTATTTTAATAAACTGATAATATGCTGGAAATTGTTTCGAACTATCTAGAACAGCCGCCAGAGAGCGTAATAGCATTCTTGAAATTTAAATCCTGTGTTGTAATCTAATATTCTTCTTCGCTTTCGGAGAATTGTGATCAGAGCTTCAAAACTCTTTCGCAGCTTTGTCTAACTGTTAGATTAGGGCATGCCCTTATTTGATCAGTCCTGCGTCAGACCTTCGGATAATTATTCGTTTCAGATTATCATCAACTCCTTTTTGTAGATGGCCGAAATATCTAAAAATTCGAACTAGTACTATTAAACTATTCGTGTTCTTTAATGCCCTAAGCAATGACTGCATTATTTCTTTTTCCGTCCGGCGTATTCCCAGGACTCTTCTGCAGCACCAAAGCTCAACTGCGTCATTATATCTGAGGTCCGCAGCTTTCAACCACAATGTTCTGTCTTAATTACGTTTTTGTCGTGTTCAATGTGATGGCACTGTCTCGCCATGTGTTTTGTAAACTTTATACTGTTAATTTAGCGATTTCATATCTACCATTAATAACCTGTGAACAGAGCACCTTCATTGGAAATAAATGCTAACAGAGATGCCATTTGCCCATGCCTTGAATATTTGGTTGATTATACTGAGCTCTATCGACAATCATCACTTTGGATACAACGCTAAGATCATTCATTTGTCAAAACACTCCATCAAATAGTTTCACCCCAATACTTGAAAAGGTTAAGAGAGCATTAAAAAAAAAATAAGGACACCCAAAACGCACTATAAAAAGCTATAAATATTTTATATTATTATAATTATTTTATATATTGCTTCCCTAAATAAAACAATCGGATTTTAAAGCTAACTTAATTTCATGTGGACAGATAGTCAACATTCAATCGTAATAATTAAGTATTAATTATTATAGACATTATAGACGAGTACACTGAAAATATTCCCAAAAATGTGACATTATATGGAGTTTTTTTTTTACTGATATAGGTTACGAAAGAGATATCGAAATGCGGTTTTCATTAGTGTGTAAGACCCTTATGTGGATATCTTTTGTTGCAATAAAAGTATATAGTTGCATTTAATTACTATGTGTGATTTTAGCAAAACGACTTCTAGCAGTTATACAGGCAATCTAAATCTAAGGGCTGCGTTGAAAGTCTAAGAAGAGTCCTTTTCACCAACTTTTAGTTTGACAAAATTCATCCATTCTGAAGTTATTCACAAAATATTTAGACACCCCCACCACTTTCCCTCAAGAGGCAAGAATCTAATTTATTCTAATTTTCAAATAGTGTTCAGTTTAACAATATGTAATATATTATTTCCCAAAAAACGGGATTTAAAATTCAAGAATGAGACTACGCCCCACAGTGGGCCAGGGAAACCCTAGGTGTTTGACTAATTCGTTTTTTTTTTCAATGCCAATAAATTTTACTTAATAATAATAAAAACACATCAAGAAAAATAAAAAATTATTACGAAACACTGTTTAATAACATTACTCAAAATGTACCTTTTACCTTTCACTATTGAAATGCTAAAAATAATAGCAATGTCTTACGTGAACCAAACTTAAGTTACACTGTCGCTCTATAAAAAAAAGAAAACAAATTTATATATTAATAGGTGAAAACTTATAACGAAAAACATTTTTCTATGATTTTTTTTGCCCACCCGGTAAATTCTTTAAAAAATATTTTTATAAAATGGAACAGGTGGGAGCAAGATTGTGTCTTACACGTAACACCACAACATGTTACATAGTGATAAATTGGTTAAGGCTTTCGCGGCCCGTTGATAAGCTATTATCTTGGTTCGAGTTTAAAGGCCGTCGTCGATTGGAATTACTTCCGAGTCTACGTCCAACATCGGAGATGGAAGGACCTCTGAAGAAGCTCGCCACTCGTGCTAGTGAAACGTTAGGAAGTAATTCCAACCGACGACGGCCTTTAAACCCGAATCAAGATAATAGCTCATCAACGGGCCGCGAAAGCCTTAGCCAATTTATAGTTTGTGATCTGCGATCTAGACTCTTTTTTGTGTACGGGAAAAATTTTACACATTTTCCATATACGTTATAATTTTGATATATCGACAAATTTGATATTGGTTCGAACAACCACACATTAAAAAATAAATATTTCGGTAGTTTAAGTAGTACACACATACTGGCCATCCATTATTATATTAGCCAAACATTTAATATCTATGCTGGATAAATATTGAAAGCATTTATTGCACCCATAAAAAATATTGCCTTTCTAATGGGCCAATATCTAATTAAAATATTTTTCTAATATTCCAGATGTAATTTTCGATGGGTCAATTACATTCCTAGAGATAATTTCCGACACGCCACTGAATTTGAAAACTTGAAACTTGTTAGGGCTCATCACTTGGAATTATGCGGTGAAAGACTAAGCGGATAAGAAACAAAAAAAAACTTGTGTGTGTGTGTGTGTATTTTCAAAATTAAGCAATATTAAAAAAAAGATACAATTTTGTCCTAAAATTTCGTTATTAGGGTTACGAACAAGGTTGGGAAACTTGTTCTATATTGCATTAAAAGTAAAATGTTTAATTCAAAAAGACATTGTTATATCTGCGTCTGAATATATCTCTCTAAATAAATATTCTTCACGTATTTAGCACTTAAAGTTATTTCAAAATTGATTTTTCAATAAAGGGCCACTAATGTATTAATTCCTAACTATAAATTTAATGGGCACATGAATCCTCATTGGACCTATAGCTTTAACAAAATTGTTTCTTGATATTGGTAGATACGGTTGACAACATTAGTTAGTTAAGTAAAGCGCATATAAAACGCTTGTAGGAGTTGTCGATTAAGAGAGGTCAAAGTTGAAAAAAACAATTATTTATAAAATTGCCTTGCCGCGCCACGCGGAAATCAAAATTCATTCCGATCGATGCAATTTTTCCTCGTATCATCGGAGTAAGCAAGCGAGCAGGTTGATTATTATAACACTATGCAAATTACTCTTCAAATTTATTCATTTCTGTGCAGAATTTATTATTCACACAGGAGTACGCTGCACGCTGATTGGTTTTACTTTACTATTATTGTCATTTTTTAATTAAATGATTTGAAAACACGTTCTCCGACTATGTACTTGACAGATTTTGACATTCCGAACGTTTTGTAACCGGATGATTCGTTAAACAAAAATGCTAGAACTCGTGATGATGGACGGCACTATAATGTTCACTAAGTATTAACGACAAAAGTAAGCTAACAGATAGTGTTAATTAGATTACCAAACTGTGAATGTTTGAAGATTTTAAGGGAAAGGCGCAATTTGCTTTGACCTATTTGAGAGTTTTGTAAGTTATATTATCACAAAGTAAACCTTATTTATGGAGACCTGAACAATAATGGAACAGCTAAGTTAGTAATTTATTATTGGTGGGCTCAGTCAGTGCGATTTTACTAAAACACACATTTCGGATGATATTTTCCACATTTGTCAGTTCTGGTGGTTACGTAAGCCAATGAATGTATTCATGCTCTTTCGCAAAAATGTACCCAAAAAGTAACAGCCTTGGAAAAAATATAGTATGCCACATATATAAACAGTCCACTGCGCAACGCTCCTACCAAAACAAGCTAGTGACTAAAGTGTCGTTTATTAAACTTGTTGCATAACATACTATTTTAAATTAGCTTCCATTTTTGATTCAACACTTTCTATTATCTGGCGTCAAAATGTTGTCAGCACGAATAGTGAAGTGGTACAAACATGAATATTTAATAGCAAATTTATTAAACAAACAATTGATTCAATTACTCGGTGCTCATGCATAGCCAATTTTAAAAATTGTTTAAAACTTCCCTATTATTATAATAACGTCCACAAAACCACTCTTATAATATAAAAATAAGTGTCCACTATTATTACGAACTCTCCGACCTTCTATGCGAAGCAATTTTAAAAGTTTCATTCTTTGCTGAAAAGTAAATTACTATTATTTTTTAGTATATTATTGCAAAATTGTATAACTAGTTCATCACAAAAGTTTAAAAAGTAAATTAAAAATAAACTATATTGTCAAAACCGACTGGCCACGTACGCGTGCGTAGTTGTCGGAGATAGAGCTCTTGATAAAAACACTAGCTTGAGAAAAAACACTAACTTTATTGATAACACAACTTTCAAAGTAAAACGAAAAAAAAAGACGGCAATCCAAAGGACGAACTGAGTGGTTCACTTAACTACACGAAGTTCGAGTTTGATATAAACATTTTAACTCAATCCATAAATAAAATAGATAATTTTTTGAAAATTTTTGTTTCCCTTACCAACTGTTTTTAATTTAACCATAATGACTTCTGTTCAGCCGGACATAAAAAAACCAGCCGGTAGTACATAACAGGTCAAGGTCAGTGCAAGCATGAGTAACACAGCAATCACAGAAGCTTTGGCCACCGTCAAACATGGCCGATCCAAGGGTCACGTGTCCGTGTATCTGATCTTCAAGGTACATCTACAGGGTAGTTCCTGAAGACCCTGAAGCAAGTCAGCTAAGAGGGACAAAACTTCGAAGACAAGCAGGCTCGTAATTCATTCGTCATCCAGCGCTTGGGCAGAAAATGGCGAAGTGGCTTGGTGTATGGCAAATATGGAAACGTCGCCTATAATCAAACGTTCTTGGTGTATACGTCATCGTGCGATTATTTGTGTTATACTTTGTGGAGTTGAGGACAGAATTTCCATCAGTATTGGGGTTTGACGACTACCTCTTAAAATACTTGCTTGCTTCTATATCGCTGTAGTTGCTATCATTGTTTGCCGGCTCCGAAAACATTTCCCATCCTGACTGAGGCTGAATAAATTCGGGTCCTGAGTAATTCGAGGTTTTCTTCCCCAGATTTTGTAGGCACGTTCTGCCTCTTTCGTTCAGTTCCGCTGCCTTACCTATGGTATGGTTTGTTTGGTTGATTGGTGAACCAATAATAATGGTATATCTACAGTCTCCTCTGAATCCATGCTTCATAGAAGGCCGTAAACTCTGTAATATCCGGGTTATTCGTTTATACAGTATACAGTACCTGAAGTACGTAAAAGTACTCCTTCACTAGTTCGTTGGGCCCTGGTTTTCTTTCTTGCACATTTCTATTAAACGCACTTCCAAAATCCTATAGATAATACAATTCTGCTTTAGACACGGTAGCGACATCTTCCCAGGCTTTGTCTCCGTTTTCATCTAAGAACTTTCTGAACCATAATGCGGCAGTTCCTTCCAGGAATGTTTCGAAATACGCTATTTTAAGCTTCATATCCCAACCAACCCAAACTGTGGTAGCGTTGGTTGGCGGTTGCCAAAGCTTCAGTTATTGCTGTGTTGTTCATGCTTGCACTGAACTTGACCTTGACCTGTTTCGCACTACCGGTTGATTTTTTTTATGTGAATACTTCGTTATCCTCCTCACTTGCTGCTATTAATTACTCGTCTTAAATTAGTAACTTGTATCCTTTCGTCTGCGCGACTTGCGCCTGATGTTTGCTGGGCTCAGTGAACGAGGGTTGACTTCTAATGCTATAGTACCTCGTACGGGTGACCATCGGAATTACGTCTGTGGTACTCTCAAAAACGTAACCCGGCACTTTTTCGTCTACTTTACCAAAGTATCTCAAAACGAATGAAAATGAAATTCCAGGCAAGTGACTTTATTTACTACTATACCATGCGCCTTTGCGAAGGTGACAAATAATGTTTCTAGCATTCTCATCTGTAAAAAATCAGACCTAATATTCTGTCATTCTGTTTACAGAAAAAATTATCGGCTATCAACTCTCTTGTTTGCAGAACCGTAAAACTATCTCAACCCGAGTAACTGAACCCAGAATTAAAAAACTTTACATCCGCTCTTCTCTCTAATAGTGTGCACATTAGAGATATTACAAGTTCCATCACAAAATACACTTCATTACAACCCAAAGACAATGAGTCCGAAAGCAACCATACATTTGCCACTGTTGTGTTTCCTTACATTCAAAACATCGCTAAAAAAAAGATAAGAACAGTCAAATGTTTACTTTGACCGGAATTCATATTCTTGAACTTAATATTCACCTTTTTAGAAATAAACACGGGTTTACATCAAAAGAGGAAACCAATAATTATAATACCCTCAATTGTGGAAACGTTGAATCATCTAGACTGTGGACGGAAGCATCCCAACTCAGTAGGGATAAAAATCTTTAATCTACTATCTACTACCTACTGAAATAAAGAAGCAAGAAACGTTTAAGAACCTTAAAATCCAACTAAATCAGTTTTTTCAAGTATCGTTTGTGTAAATGAAATAGCTAAATCTGCGTTATATAGGCTTTCGAGTTGCCGCTGCATGATAGTATTTTCAACCAAATGAAACACTTGGTAATGCACAAACAATATGGTTTCTATAAAGCACCATCAGTAATCCGGCTTGCTTTACAGAATTCACTACTAAGGCTTTGGACGACGGGAGGCGGGTGGGAGGCAATACAAGTACTTTTCGAAAGCCTTGACCTGTACTGCTCTCTAAACTGGGGATGGTTGGATTTTGTGATAATCTTGTGGCATTCATAAAGTCATATCTGCATAAAGAATACAGTATATGGAGCTCGCTTAGGTTCATGGCTAATAGCGCCGTTCCCCAGGGTAGCAATTTAGCGCCATTGATATTCTTGTTTTTCATTCATGATATAGTAGTTAATATTGATAATCAAATTTTGTTATTTGCTGATGATGTGAAATTATTTAGAATAATTCATAGTGTGGTCGACTGTGTGTCTCAGAATGATTTGGAAATTATGTTCTTGGTGTGCTTCTAATAACCTACAGATAAATGTTTCGCAATGACATTTTCAAAAAAAAACTGGTACTATAACTTTTAATTACCATGTGCATCATGTATTATTAAGAAAATATGACAATTTTAAAGACCTGTATGTAACGTTTGACACAAACATCTCTTTCAGAAATCATGTCGATGGAAGTGCACTCAAAATGCTGGGATCCATAGTGAGAAATTCTAGAGATTTTGCAAGGGAACATGGCTCTAAGGCTGGCAGCCAAGTTTATCCAAGTGACGCACTATTAATTTTCTGATATATAAGCCTACATCATATTTTTTAAAAAGAACACCCTGTATATTACATATATATATATATATATATATATATATATATATATATATATATATATATATATATATATATATATATATATATATATATATATATATATATATAATACTACCGCAAGTGATTTATTACTAATGTTTAAGGTTCCCTTACTGTTGAATCGTAGGAGGTACCTTTCATTTCAGTTTTTATATAAACTTTGTCATCCATTAGTGAATTGTCCTGAGTTGCTGAGCCAGCTGAACTTTCTCCAGGAACCAATTTTTTGATTAGTTGATGAAATTATTTAATGACTTCTGTAATGATATTGACGTTTTTTGTCTTAGCCTCTCACAGTTTACCACATTAATTAAACGTAAATTTGAAATATTATAATGGATTGTATGTTTCACTATTACTTTGCTAGAGTGAATATAGTTGACTACTTATTATAGTTATAGTTCTTAAGATTAAATTGTGTTCTAAATGGATGTTAATCTGCTAGACAATAAATATTATTGTTATTATTGTTATATAGTATCGTTATTGTTTTTTTTGCCATGTTTCACTTTTTCCATATATTACTAAGCTTAATTCTGGTATACCAAATAGCAATAGGGCAACATGTAAATAATCCACATTATCCACAAAAATGTTTGATGAAAATGCTAGTATCTAATATCTATTAATATTACCTACCTATTTATATTAGCAGTCTTTGATGAGGTATGTCCCGCTATGGTAATGTGCACGTATACATCCGAATCGTTTTCGGACAATTTAGCTAATTCTTCTCCTTTCCATTTGTATATAAACACAGAACTTATATTTCCTGCAATAAAAAAAATACCGCTAGCGATCAAATACGAATGGCTATTTAAAGAAAAATATGAATTTTATACAACTACTGGAAACCATCACGCGAATGACGTGGAATATACCGATTTATGTGCATAATCTATCAGAATTATCACATATTAAGCAAACTATATCTAATATCCGAAGGTAATATCTCGGAAATAGCTGACAGGATGAAACCTTCGAAATAGAGGAACGAAAATTATCATAATCGCCAACGTTTCCTTGAGTTTTAATATTTTATCGCTTCCTGTTTATGGCTGCAAAATAATTCAGAAAGATACCCTACAGAATTTTAAATCCCGACGTTCGAGAAAAAAAAACAGTCCTTTAAATAAACTGAGTTGTTTTATTATTGTTTTACTGCTATTTACAAACATGAGTGCTTTATTTTGGAGCCAGTGTTTGTTCCAGATCTTGCATGAAATGCAATCGAACATAAATATCATATCATTCTTACCTAGTAGCGACAATTTGGAATTAATTTAAAAAAAAAATAATTTTAAAAATATATGATTAATGTGTAATGTTAAGCAGTTTAAGCAATTGTATTCTGTTCGACTACTAATTATAAAAATTAATTCAGCCCTGTCTGTTTGTAGTTCAATTTCAATCAGTTGCGGGCCCAGTAAGGACAAGGCGGTATAGTAAATGCCCAATTTTCTTGTTAAAGCCCTTTACTCTATCTCTGAAAGGACAAGGATAACACCAAAAGGACTTAGCGCTATTTAAGAAACTTGAAGTCACTTAAAAGGCCTTGCCAAGACTATCAATCATGACTGTGAGACACTGAAATTGTTTACTTTGATGAGAGATGACTGATATGACTGCAGTACTTTCGGCAAGCATTTCGACTTGCGTTGCTTGACTTATTAATGTTTAATTATCCCCAATTTAGCAAATAAAATGCTACTTTACCACTTAGGATTCCAAACGACAGTTTAAATCAAAACAGAATTTCGATAATTATCTTTAATCTTTTTTTTTTAAAAAACCTTCGAATTACATGACATTTATTACTGCGTACCCTTTTTTTTTTCGTTTTCAATATAATTTTAACACTTATATTTTCATTAAAAATTAAGTTTACGGCATTAAAAAAAAATAATTTGTTTATTTAAAACAGGACTCACACAACCAAATAGTCACCGGCATTTTTTCTACCTGGTGTCTTTAACAAATTTTGTTTCTACAAATTTCGAGTATCATACCTTGTTGAACTTACTGAAGCACGGTATATATCGATTACACCTATTTCAACATTGTCAAATATATAACGAATGATACTAAGAAAGTAAATACATTCAAAATCGATATTTCTATCTTAGAAATGCATTAGAAATAAAAAACTATAAAATCTGTACCAGAAATATTTGCTAATTTCTTGGTTGCAATTAATTTGATTTCAAAAAACTAAAGATTTTACTATTATGCGAATCTCTGCTGTTTTCTAAGCTACTTTTATAGATTTTGACTAATGTTTGTTTACAAGAAATAAATATATAATAAAAAAAACACACAGTTTACCGATTTAGAAACTATCAACAACATTATAGAGAAAGAACTAATTTAATTTTTACAACGTAGGGGAATGTTCAATGCCACTGTTCGTAGATCTTACAGAATATATTATTTCTAAAGTTTGCTGCGATATTTCCAACTGGATTTTCAATTCCATTGGTTAATATAATTCTTCACCGATTTACTAAATGAATCCTCTGCACATTAAAGGATTCATATTTATCAACATTTAGTTAACAAACGTTTGATAAAAAAAATCGAGCTGTCGAGTTAGTAGGATTTAGCGCACACCATTGCGACGGTAATTAATGAAACTCGTCCACTAATGAATTCGTAAATCGTTCTAATTTGTCGTTGTCTATTTCATGAGGCACGTTTTATCGGATCCATTAATAGTTAGTTGTTCTTGAAATTGGTCGCCAATCAATTGCGGACTATTAACTTTTTGTCCTTCCAAAAAAATCATTCACCGACTACGAGGATCGAGATACAACAATAAAAACGTGTTTCAACATCTCTAACCCCCCGAGTTCGAGTTTTAAAAGTAGTGCAGTAGGAAAATTTCATTATATTATGAGACAAGTTTTATAATCCAGGGTCTAAAGCAGTTCATACACGTGTAGGGTATTTTAAAGCAAAAGACAATACGGCAGCATTTTTTTTTAATGACGCGCTAGCAAAAACCTTCAAATTTACATTACGTTACCTCTAAACACAGTTTTAATTTCATGTTCTGATATATTGTTCAAAAAATAGTCGCTAACAAGGAAAATCTTAACATACAAACCACTAATGTTAATGGTAATGTTATTTGGAAAGGTATTGATGAAATTTTTTTACAGAGGTGCGCAAAATCTCACACCGACAAACGTCGAAGTCTAGAACATACTAATTTCTCAGTCTCATATGCAAATATTGCTAGTAGTACAGACGAGTTGGCATTTCCAAACTGGATTAATATTTCTCTCCGAAAATTGTTATGTACTAACCCAGTACACGAAATTGTTGAAATAGAAACTCCATAGTACAAAGGAAAAGATATTGGAGGCTACAGATTCGGTCTCTCTGGAACAGATAGCTAATAATAATAACAATGATGCCATAAGTCAAAAATCAAGAGATAGGTTTAAAATAATCCCGCAGTGCATTAGGGGCGGTAGTAAATAACATTCCACAAAAAGTTTTAAATGTCAAATGTTTACAAACAAAATCTAAATAAATCTTCGAAAAATAAAAATCGAAAACACCGATGTACACGCCGTTGATGAAAATTCTCATTCCATTAATAAACAAAGTAAATATTAAGTGCAAACTTCGATGTCATAGAATTTATCGAAGCACTTTCGGTAGCGGAACAGTTAGGATAAGTGTAAACATGGGAGTTGCAAATAAAGCCATTCCCTCTGTAAAAACAAACGAACTTCTTCCGAAATTTAAGGACCCTCAAATATTTTTTAAACTCGATATCCAAATGCTTTCTATCAAACAGAGATATCCCCAAAAATAAGCAATACATGACAGGAATCAAGACAAAATATTGTTCGTATCGAAAAAACTGAAGGAGAATGGCCAGTGGTTCCAGAAAACCCTTAAAAAATATCTGACTTGTGTATATTTTATACCAGCACCGTTTAAGATTTGTAATTTCTATTTATTTTATTACTTACAACATTATTGTTAAGTTCCGTGATTTATATTAATATTATTTTTTAATATATTTTGTAGTAGTGGTGGTAATTGTATTGCATGTTTAATTATTGTTAATTTCGTTACCAAAAGTATTATGATTGTTAATTATTATTGTTGGAATAAGGTATCCAGTATATCTTATATGACCACATTCGTAGTTTGATTTAGCCGACAATACAGAAACGAAAAATATTATAATTTAACAAATTAACAAATAATTGTTTGCAAAAGAACACGAATACATCCACCCAATGACGCGGTGAGTGAGAAACACATGTAGAATCATAAAAAAAATACGGACGTCAAAACACCTTCACCAATATACCAACGCCTCTCTAAAGTGGCGGAAAAACACGAATTGGCTCCCTGATAAAGGTGACTTTAGGATACTTTAGACATAGAATTAAGTATTTTACACCAGGAAGTAGAAAATTCTATTGCTAAATTTACCAGATATGTATAAATGAACACAATACATAGATAGCCAGAATAAAGTATTTGCAGTAATTTAGCTAAGTTTAGCTTAGAAACCTCACAATTTATTCCTTACTTAGAAGTCTTAACTTTAAGCTCATTTTCTCAGAATTGCGATTTATATCTTTCTTTTTAGCTTTTTGCATCTCTAACCGACTCTTTTGTGTTAGATTTTGTTATTGGCAAATTAAATTTTAAATAAGCCGAAAATTGAAGAAAATAATACTGCTCTTGTGCCAAAACAGAAAAACAGCAACACAGAAACAATTAGCAAACTATTTCGAAGTCGATGAACCGTTTGAAAACTTATTGAAACAGCTATTTGTTAGCTTAGTTTTGATGATGATTTGCCAATAGGAACAAACTCAATAAAGCTTAATTTAATATTATGACCAAACGCACGAAAAACTTGACGACAAAAAATCGCCTGGCCAATTTAACAATATAAAGCAATAAACTTTTATAGTTGCCAAACATTTAGCGCGCGCGCCTCTCCACATCGCTGTTTGCTTATTAAGTTTGCTATTAGTAAAAATATTCAATTCGTAAATCGGCACAGGGGCGGCGTGCTGACTATTTTCAAATTCAAATTCGTTTGGACGGCTTGACGTATTAATTTTTACAGAGTTGATGATCTTAATAAGACCTCTAACGATATAGGAGAGGCAAAACTCAATCGATTATTAATACAGGCTCCGAATATTAGGTGACTTTTACTTGATGAAAATCCATTTAACACAATTAAATTAGAACAAAAAAATTTTCAGATTTTCACAGTTTTTAAAGATTTATGAAAGCTGATTCGACAATAACATGAATTTATCAAATACAAAGGCACGGTGTTGCTGAAACATCTGTCATGAATTATTATAAACTGTGAAAATCTCAACATTTTTTGTTTCCATTTAATTGTGTAAGATGCGAATTGTCGTAAATCCCAATCCCAGTAAATGCTTATCTTCGCCGAGTAGCAGTAAGATTCAAGAGGCAAATGTTTCCCCTACCCTCGAGTTGTACGGATAAGAAGAAAATTTTGACATGTAAATTCTTTGTAAAACTTTAAGTAATAAAAATTATTGGTACAAGATTTAAATGTATTGAGTAGCTTAAAATTACAGTAGCCTGTGAAAGTTTTTTTCAAAAATTACCTTAAAATTTTTAATTGTAGCATGTAGTAAATTTATTTTTTCTACTCCCGTCTGTAAAATACCTAATTACGCACCGATCTAGAGTGCGGGAAGCGTCGCTTTACCACGTCAGTTTCGTTTCCCACGAATCCGAGCCACTTCG